AAAAAAAAAAAAAAAAAAAAAAAGATTTATAGAAGCACTGTGACCTGACCAAGGACCAAGAAGTTCCCAACCTCCTTGTATCATCTCTGGTGCCCGGATGTCTGTGCTGCTAAGTTACCTCTTGATCTCAACCTCTTTCTCTTCCCCCTACCCTTAACATTAAAGATGGTCCTTTAGAACACTAGTTCACTGTCTTCTCAATTTTCTGGCTTTCCAGATAAACCTGCCTTTCCTCCCACCAACTCTTGCCTCTTAAGTCTGGCTTTCAAGTAACAAGCAGCCAGACCATGGTTCAGTTACAAACCCAACTAGTGATCCCCATGGTTCCTTCCTGTTACTGCGTTCTGAGAGTCATTGACTATGTGTGTGCATGAGTTTGGTCTCTCCAACTTGACTGTAAGCTCCCTGAGGGCAAGAGGTATTGTGATAACTTTTCTCCTGTCTCTCCTGACATTATCGGCCCCCAGGAGGGGAGAGAATCTAGGTGACTGAAACAGTCAGGAGTTTGGCTGGGCGTTTGGAGTCAGACAGGCTGAAGCTCAGACCCTGGCTTTAGTACTTCCAGCTATTGGACCTCGGGTAAGTGCTGGCCTTCTCTGAGCCTCAGCTTGTTCATTGGTAAAATGGAGAGAGGCACAGCTGCCTCACAGAGGTGCTGAGGGCTCCAGGCAATGTCAGCAACCGTGCAGTGCAGCCGGCCCTCAGTCTGATATAAGATCAGTGTTCAATGAGCCTTTTCTTCCATCAGTAAATGCTGATCCTTCCCCGAACTCTTCCAGGGCCCTCACATTTTGGAACGTGGAAAACTGTTGGGGCTGTGGCTGGAATCAGTTCTAATTACCCCAGGGGGCTCTGGGAAAGGAAGGAGGTTCAGAAGGGGAGCCCCAGGGGGCAAAGTCGGGGCCCTGGGTTGGGAGGCTGCGGTGGGAGGAGAGGGTTGGCTGTCTGCTGGGAAGGACTTACTCCTGGATGAGGACGTTGATGGGGTACAGGATGGGGATGCTGGTAGTGGCCGAGTTGTCCTTCAGGAGGCCTGAGTCCTCATTGTTACTGCATTGAGGCAAGGAAGAGGCCAGTGTTAGGAGAAGGGCTTGGCCAGGTCTGAGACCACGGCAGGGATGTGGGCGGGGCCTGCTCACCAGGTCACATTGGCGCGCAACTCGACCAAGTCCCCCCAGGAGCTGTTTACCAGCGTATTAAACATCATCTGCAGAGCAACCTGGCAGGGAAGGAGAGGGGAATGGAAATGGAAGGGGCGTGAGGAGCAGCCCCACGGCCCCCACATCCAATCACCATCATCTCAGGGACCCCTTATCAAGTACTCACTGCACCCCAAGCACTGAGCTAGGATTCTACCCAATGCGAAGATGAGGCAACCAAGGCTCCAAACGGTTAAGTCATGTCTATAAGGTCACAAAATGAATAACCCAATCCCAGCTTTGCCTGATTCCAAAGTCCAGGCTCTCAAACATGACACGAAACAGATTCACATACATTTCTCTTGGGTAGGGGCAAGGTACACCCTTCCTGACAATCACCTACTCCCTCCTCCTGAGCCAAGAGCTCCCTGCCCTCTGCCAGCTCAGGGTCCCTAGGCTGCTTGGTCCCTGGAGACTTGAAGCACTCACCGAGTGGCCTGCTTTGAAGATGGGAGAGCTCACGTTGCAGGATAACACCCTGGACAGAAGCTTGGACTCTTCAGGAAGCTCCTCACAGCTCACAGGCATCTGGCTATGGGGCTGGGAGTGAAAGGAGGGAACAGGTTTGTTAATGAACAAGGCCAAGGTTCCCCCAGAGGCCACCAGCCCTCCTGGCCTACGTCCCCCAGGGGCTCTGTCCCTGTCATGGCACCTTCTCAGAGGGAAAGGGCCCAAGAATCAGGGTTGCAGACAGAGGCTTAGTACAAAATAGTCACTGCAAGGCCAGGAAAGGTAGCTCACACTGGAAATCCCAGCATTTTGGGAGGCTGAGGTGGGAGGATTACTTGAGGAGTTCGAGATCAACCTGAACAGCAGTGAGACTCCATCTCTACAAAATAATCTTTTTTCTTTTAAATACAGGATCTTACTCTGTTGCCCAGGCTAGAGTGCAGTGGTGCGATCTCGGCTCACTGCAACCTCTGACTCCCAGGCTGAAGCAGTCCTCCTGCCTCAGCCTCCCAAGTAGCTGGGACTACAGGGATGTGCCACCATGTCCGGCTAATTTTTGTGTTTTTAGCAGAGATGGAGTCTCTCTATGTCACTCAGGCTGCTCTTGAACTCCTGGGCTCAAGGAATCTGCCTGCCTTGGCCTACCAACGTGCTGGGATTACAAGTGTAAGCCGCCATACCTGGCCTACAAAAGATTTTTAAAAATTAGCTGGGCATAGTGGGGTATGCCTGTCGTCCCAGCTATTAGACAGGAGAGTCACTTGAGCCCAGGAGTTTGAGGCTGCAGTGGGCCATGCTTGCGCCACTACACGTTAGCCTGGGCAACACAGTGAGACCTTATCTCAAAAATAAAAGTTGGGTGTAGGGGGGTAATTGCAACACTATAATGCTGAAAAACCGGAAGTGCTCAAACAGGTCAAAGAGATAATAACGGCTCAGGAAAGTGTGGCATGATCAAAGAGGAGACTATTGTGAAGTTTTAAAAATGCCACTACCTCTATGCATTCAGTAACCATTTACAAAATGAGCCTTATCGTGGGCTAAGCATTATTAAACCATTCATCCCAATTTTGTAAAGGACAGATTTCAGTCTCAGCCTGGGAAGGAAACAGATAAGGAAATAGAGGTTCAGGGAGGTTAAGGGACTTTCCCAAGGTGTCATAACTGGGTAACAGTAGGGATCCGTAAGAACTTGAACACAGAACTGTTTGATTCCAGTTATTTTTTTTCTTTCTTTTTTTTTATTGTTGAGATGGAGTCTTGCTGTTGTCACCCAGGCTAGAGTGCAGTGGAGTGATCTCGGCTCACTGAATCTCCACCTCCTGGGTTCAAGTGGTTCTCCTGCCTCAGCCTCCCAAGCAGCTGGGATTACAGGACAGGCTACCACGCCCAGCTAATTTTTGTATTTTTAGTAGAGATGCGGTTTCAACATGTTGCCCTGTCTGGTTTTGAACTCCTGACCTCAGGAGTGAGCCACCGCACCCAGCCCAGGTTTTTTTGTTTCTGTTTTTTTTTTTGTTTGTTTGTTTCTGAAACAAGGTCTCGCTGTGTTGCCCAAGCTGGGGGGCAATGGTGTAATCATAGCTCACTGCAGCCTCAAACATGACTCCAGCGATCCACCCACCTCAGCCTCCTGAGTAGCAGGACTACAGGCACACCCCACCACACCTGGCTAATTATTTAATTTTGTGTAGACACAGAGTCTTGCTCTGTTGCCCAGGCTAGAGTGCATTGGCATGATCATAGCTCCCTGTGGCCTTGAACCCTTTGGCGTAAGCACTTCTCTACCTCAGCCCCCCAGGTAGCTGGAATTGTGCTACCACATCCAGCAAAGAAGCATTTAATGTTGTTGTATAAGAATAATTCGGCCGGGCATGGTGGCTTATGCCTGTAATCTCAGCACTTTGGGAGGCCGAGATGAGCGGATCACCTGAGGTCAGGAGTTTGAGACTAGCCTGGCCAACATGGTGAAACTCTGTCTCTACTAAAAATACAAAAATTAGCCAGGCATGGTGGCGGGCGCCTGTAATCCCAGCTACTCAGGAGGCTGAGTCAGTAGAATCACTTGAACCCCATAGGCGGAGTTTGCAGTGAGCCGAGATCACGCCATTACACTCCAGCCTGGGGGACAAGAGCAAGACTTTGTCTCAAAAAAAAAAAAAAAAAATTCAAGTGTTCATCAACAGATAAATAGATAAAATATGGTCTATACATAAAATGGAATATTATTCAACCTTAAAAGGAAAGGAAATTTGGCGGAGCACACTGGTTCACACCTGTAATCCTAGCACTTTGGGAGGCTGAGGTGGGCAGATTGCTTGAGCTCAGGAGTTTGAGACTAGCCTGGGGAATATAGTGAGAGCCTCTCTCTATTTAAATTTGTTTTTTTTTTAGATGGAGTCTTGCTGAAGTGCAGTGGCACAATCTCGCCTCACAGTAGCCTCTGCCTCACAGGTTCAAACGATTCTCCGGCCTCAGCCTCCCTAGTTAGTAGCTAGGATTACAGGTGCACACCACCACACTTGGCTAATTTTTGTATTTTTTAGTAGAGACAGGGTTTCACTATGTTAGCTAGGCTGGTCTTGAACTCCTGGCCTCAGGTGATCCACCCGCGTTGGTCTCCCAAAGTATTGGGATTACAGGTGTGAACCACGGCACCCAGCCTGAGAGGGTAAACCTCGTACCTTAGATCATACAGCTCGAAGCTGGGAACCCAGATATGACCCTAAGACCCCTGTCCACCCGCGACTGCCCACGTGTTCAGGCTGTCCTGGTTGCCTGGGGCTCAGAGAAGGGAATGGCGGCTGTGGAACGCACGCCCGTAGGCAGGCAGTGTACTCTCACCCACCTTCAGCATCTCCACTTTGCGGAAGGAGAGTCCCCGAGGGAAGTGCAGGTCCAGCTGGACCCAGTAAGCATCTTCTCCCAAGTTACTCAGGCTCAGCTCCACAGAGAGGCTGGCAAAAGCAGTCAGACGCAGGGCTCTGGATCTGTGGGGGATGATCAGGGAAAAGTTAGGGGCCGAGATGGAGGAGGGAGGATCAGGGTGGGGAATATCAGAACTGAAGGATCTGGTGGGCCTGAAAGAATTAAATCAAAACCAATCATCTTTTTTGCTCAGTCTTTTTTTTTTTTTTTTTTTTTTTTTTGAGACAGAATCTCACTCTGTAGCCCAGGCTGGAGTGCAATGGCACAGTCTTGGCTTATTGCAACCTCCACCTCCAGAGTTCAAGCAACTAAACTGCCTCAGACTCCCAAGTAGCTGGGATTACAGGCATGCGCTACCACGCCCGGCTAAGCTTTGTATTTTCAGTAGAGACGGGGTTTCACCATGTTGGCCAGGCTGGTCTTGAACTCCTGAACTCAGGTGACCCGTCTGCCTTGGCCTCCCAAAGTGCTGGGATTATAGGTGTGAGCCACCCCGCCCAGCTATGCTCAGACTTTCAGTTTTGCAATTCTTGCAATCTTATTTACTGCTGACTGATGGGAGTTCCATGAGGGATTTGCTTTCTATTTTATTTACTTTTTATTTTTTAGAGATAGGGTCTTGCTCTGTCGCCCAAGCTGGAGTGCAGTGGTGCTTACTGCAGCCTCGAACTCCCAGGCTCAAGCAATCCTCTTGCCTCAATCTCCCAAGTAGCTGGGAATACAGGCCTGAGCCACCATGCCCAGTTAATTTTTAAATTTGTTGTAGCAACAGGGTCTTGCTATGTTGCCCAGGCTGGTCTTGAACTCTTGGCCTTAACCAATCTTCCCACCTTGGTTGGCCTCCTGAAGTGCTGGGATTACAGGCATGAGCCACTGAGTTCAGCCTCGAATTTCTCAGAAAAGGAAACTAAGGCCCAAGAGAGGGAAGTGGCATCTCCAAATGACATATCTGGTGAGTAGAGCAGGGGGTCTTAAAACAGAGTGGATGGAGGCTGGAGGGCGGGAGGCCTTACTGACCTTGCAGGAGAGAAGGACACTCTCAGGTTTGCCTCACACTTCTTGTCCTCCCCACAGTTCTTCTCAAAAGGGATCTGAAAGGCCAAGAAGAAAGGAGTAAGAGGCTCAGACCAGGAGGGACCTGACCCCAGGCCTCTCTGCCTGCCCCTCCTCCCCTCTTACCTCCCAGGTTTCTGAGTGCAGGGAGGGCCTCAGGATGGGCGGTATGTCCTTGCTCTGCCGGGCGAGGGGTAGTGGGCAGGATGGAGAGAAGAGAGATTAGCTGAGGCAGCAGACCTCATGAATGAATGAAAACTGGTGGGGCAGGGGCTTAGCGTAACTGAACTGGCTGTGGCTGGCCCTGCCCAGGAGCCAGCTGCCTTCCCAGGGCTGCCCCACTCTGCTGCCTCAGCCCACTGCCACTTGTGCAGTCGTACTCTGCTGGCGGCTCCTTTTTTTTTTTTTTTTTTTTTTTAGACAGAGTCTTACTCTGTTGCCCAGGCCCAGGCTGGAGTGCAGTGGCATGATCTCTGCTCACTGCAACCTCTGCCCCCTCGGTTCAAGCGATTCTCATGCCTCAGCCTCCTGAGTAGCTGGGATTACAGGCATCCATCAGGCATCCACCACCATGCCTGGCTAATTTTTTAAAAATATTTTTAGTAGAGACAGGTTTTCGCCATGTTGGCCACGCTGGTCTTGAACTCCTGGTCTCAAGCAATCCACCCCCTCTCAGCTTCCCAAAGTGCTGGGATTATAGGTGTGAGCCACCAAATCTGGCTGGCTCTTTTTTTGTTTTTTGTTTTTTTCTTATTTAGAGACACAGTCTCACGTTGTTGCCCAGGCTGGAGTGCAGTGGTGCAGTCACAGCTCAATGGCTCACTGCACCCTCACTCTGGGCTCAAGTGATCCTCCCTGCTCAGCCTCCCAAGTAGCTGGGACTATAGGGGCGCACCATCATACCAATTAATTTTTTATGTTTTGTAGAAAGGGAGTCCCACTATGTTGCCCAGGCTGGTCTCAAACTCCTGGCCTCAAGTGCACCATCACACCTGACTAATCTTTGTATTTTTAGTAGAGACGGAGTTTCACCATGTTGGCCAGGCTGGTCTCGAACCCCTGACCTCAAGTGATCCACCCATTTCAGCCTCTCAAAGTGCTGGGATTAAAGGAGTGAGCCGCCTGGCCATGGGTGGCTCTTCTTGACAAATGGATTTCTCTGATAAACTCCCCACCGTCCCTAGCCATCTCTTCTTACCGCCCTTTGGTCCCTCGGTGTCCCTTCCTCCTCCCAAAGAGAGAAATTCAGGGAAACATTGATGGGGGAGATGAGGTCTTGAACACATACCTGAGGGTGATAAGAATACAGCCTATGTCATGAATCTAACCTTTACCACACTTCCGATGAGATGTATACCTTGTCAGCATTTTACAAGTGGTGAAATTCTGGTATTTCGCTGTCTAAGACTCTACCAGTAGTGAAAATCCATTGACTACATAGCAGGTGTGTATAGCACACCCAGGGGGTTCTCAGCAAAGTTATCATCCCTGAGCCCCAGTTCCCCAGCAGACATCACTAATCAATCCCAGCACTTTTTCCCACTGCGTCATAACTGAAGCCCCTGAATTTTAACCTAGGCAGCCATTATCAAAGTTTACATAAGAAAATTTCAGAATAACTAGAATATCCTAGTTCTAGAATTTTGTTCCTTGAGAACAGGGCTGGGTCTTAGTCACTTGTTATTACCAATGCCTGACACTGGCATTCTGTAGGTACTCAAATAGTTTTTCACCGGAAGGTTCTACTAACCCTAAGAGGTAGGTATTATTACCCCAACATTTAAAATAAGGAAAATGAGCTCTCCCTTCCTTCCTTTTCTTTTTTCTCTTTTCCTTCCTTCCCTTCTTCTTTCTTTCTTCTTTTCTTTTTTCTTTCTTCTTTTCCCTCCCTCCCTCCCCCATTTCTTCCTCCCTCCCTCTCTCCCTCCCTTCCTTCCTTCCTTCCTCCCTTGTCCTTCCTTCCTCCCCTCCTTTCTTTCTCTTTCTCTTTCATCCTCCCTCCTTTCACCCCACTCTAGAAAAGAAAAAGAAGAAAATGAAAACTAAAAAGGTGGCACAATTGTCCTAAGAACTTGGAGTGACAGAGTCAAGATTTGAACCCAAATCTGTCCAAATACAAAGTCCAGGATCTTTCCACCATGTCACACTGCTTTCTTTTCTGGCAAATTTATGTTTAAAATGTCTAAATCTTTTTTTTTTTTTTTTTTTGAGACGGAGTCACCCAGGCTGGAGTGCAGTGGCGCAACGTTGGCTCACTCCAAGCTCCACCTCTCAGGTTCACGCCATTCTCCTGTCTCAGCCTCCAGAGTAGCTGGGACTACAGGCACCCGCCACCGTGCCCGGCTAATTTTTTTGTATTTTATTAGTAGAGACGGGGTTTCACCGTGTTAGTCAGGATAGTCTCGATCTCCTGACCTCGTGATCCACCCACCTTGGCCCCCCAAAGTGCTGGGATTAAAAATGTCTAAATCTTATAAGAGGTGGAAAGGGAGGAGGCAGAGGGGCACTGAGTAGAGGTTTGAATGAAATAGAGGGTGAGTTGGTAATTGTTGAAACTGGGTGATGAGGACCTGGGCATTCATTAAACTATTTTTTTCTAGTTTTGTATGATTCACATTCCCCATAATAAAAAGTTTAAAACAGGCCAGGTGTGGTGGCTCACACCTGTAATCCCAGCACTTTGGGAGGCTGAGGTGGGTGGATCACCTGAGATCAGGAGTTTGAGACCAGCCTGGCCAACATGGTGAAACCCCGTCTTTATTAAAAATACCATAATTAGCCGGGTGTGGTGGTGCACGCCTGTAGTCCCAGCTACTCGGTAGGATGAGGTAGGAGAATTACTTGAATCCAGGAGGCAGAGGTCGCAGTGAGCCCAGATCATACCAATGCACTCCAGCCTGGGCAAAAGAGTAAGACTCCATCTCAAAAAAAAAAAGTTTAAAACAAACTTCAAATTTTCAAATTCTTATGTCCCAATCCTATACTGTCTTATATGATTTTGTTTTGTTTTGTTTTGTTTTTTGAGACGGAATTTCACTATCGTTGCCCAGGCTGGAATGCGATGGCACGATCTCGGCTCACTGCAACCTCTGCCTCCCGGGTTCAAATAATTCTCCTGCCTCAGCCTCCTGAGTAGCTGGGATTACAGGCATCTGCCACCCATACCTGGTTAATTTTTTGTATTTTTAGTAGAGATGGGTTTTCACCATGTTGACCAGGCTGGTCTCGAACTCCTGACCTCAAGTAATCCGCCCACCTCAGCCTCCCAAAGTGCTGGGATTATAGGCATGAGCCACCACGTCTGGCCTTTTATGAAATATTTAAGAGAACAAAACAATTTTATAGCAATCTCTTTTTTTTTTTGTTTGAGATGGAGTCTCGCTTTGTCACCCAGGCTGGAGTGCAATGGCACAATCTTGGCTCACTGCAAGCTCCGCCTCCCGGGTTCAAGCCATTCTCCTGTCTCAGCCTCTCAAGTAGCTGGGACTACAGGCGCCCGTCACCACGCCCGGCTAATTTTTTTGTATTTTTAGTAGAGATGGGGTTTCACCGTGTAAGCCAGGATGGTCTCAATCTCCTGACCTCGTGATCCACCTGCCTTGGCCTCCCAAAGTGCTAGGATTAGAGGTGTGAGCCACCGCGCCCGGCCATATCAATCCCATTTTTATACAGGATTGCTTATAAGCAACTAAATCTGGGTATTTCAACAGTTGTTTAAACTTTATTTTTTTGGAGACAGAGTCTCATTCTGTTGCCCAGGCTGGAGTGCAGTGGCACAATCACAGCTCACTGCAACCTCCACCTCCTGGGTTCAAGCAATCCTCCTGCTTCAGCCTCCAAGGTAGCTGGGACTACAGGTGTCTTCCACCAAGCCTGGCGAATTTTTTTGTATTTTTTGTAGAGAAGGGGTCTCGCTATGTTGCCTAGGCTGGTGTTGAACTCCTAAGCTCAAGTGATCCACCTACTTCAGCCTCTCAAAGTGCTGGCATGAGCCACCATGCCTGGCCTGTTTAAACTTTTTTAAAAACTTTTTTTTTCCCCCATGTACCATACATGAGACTTAATTTAAAAACTTTAAAAAAATACCCCAACTTTTTTCTGGGATGCATGATATGTACCTGGCAAATAATGACATACCATGATGATTGAATATTCTGTAAAAATTAAATATTTTAATATTTCTTTTTTTTTTTTGAGATGGAGTTTCACTCTTATTGCCCAGGCTGGAGTGCAATGGCATGATCTCAGCTCACTGCAACCTCCACCTCCTGGGTTCAGGTGATTTTCCTGCCTCAGTCTCCCAAGTAGCTGGGATTACAGGCATGGGCCACCACTCCCGGCTAATTTTGTACTTTTTTTAGTAGAGATGGGGTTTCTCCATGTTGGCCAGGCTGGTCTTGAACTGCCAATCTCATATGATCCGCCTGCCTTGGCCTCCCAAAGTGCTGGGATTACAGGTATGAGCCACCGTGCCCAGCCAAATTTTTTCGGGTTCACGCCATTCTCCTGCCTCAGCCTCCCAAGTAGCTGGGACTACACGCGCCCGCCACCACACCCGGCTAATTTTTTTTTTTGTTATTTTCAGTAGAGACGGGGTTTCACCATGTTAACCAGGATGGTTTCGATCTTCTAACCTCATGATCCACCCACCTCAGCCTCCCAAAGTGCTGGGATTACAGACGTGAGCCACCGTGCCCGGCCCAAATATTTTAATATTTCATAATTTAAAATTATGAAAGCTGTGTAGCAGCATTAATATATAATGTATGAAAAGACTAGGGAAAAATAGTAATTACATTGCCATTGTAATCGTGTTAAAAATGCCCATAAATATATTAAAAAGTAGAAGCTGCTGGGCACGGTGGCTCGAGCCTGTAATCCCAGCACTTTTGGAGGCCAAAGTAAGAGGATTACTTGACACCAGGGGTTTTAGACCAGCCTGGGCAATACAGCAAGATCCTGTCTCTACAAAAACTTTTTTTTTTTTTTTTTTTTTTTGAGATGGAGTTTCACTCTTGTTGCCCAGGCTGGAGTGAAAT